ATTAAATATATAACATTTATAAATATATTAAAATATATATTTACATATGTGTGTTGTATATAGTATATACTAGCATATCATATATACATATATATAAATATGTATTTGTCTATAAATCATGTTATATACTATAATCATATAAATATATAAATATATGATATTATTACATATGTGTGCATATTCATATTATAATATAATATAATAGAATAAATTATATATATATTATATATATTATATATGGATATTACTATATATACACACACACACACACACACCAACAACACACACACCAACACACACACACACACACACACACCACACACACACACACACACACACAACACACATAGTATGTACTTAATTATAATATATATCATATATATATTAATAAACCATAGTATTTATATATATACATATATATTTAAATAAATCATATAATGCCTATAACATTATATTATAATATACATATATATAAATTATATAATGTACTTATATATACTAATAAACACACATAATATATATACACAGTATACAAATACTTATATCCCATTAGATACTTAGCTATATACACTTTTATCCACTATACATATATATATATATCACGATAGATAATACACGTTATATATACATATATACAGCATTATACATATATTACATATATGCATTACATATATATAATATTATATATAATATATATATATATATATATAATATATAACGCCATTCACCCTAGCCGGGAGCCTGCGAGCCTAGTAGTTATATGGTTAATATACATATATGTATCATACATATCATATATAGTATATATAACTATATATTATATTTATCGTATATGATGTATTAATACATAGCTATTATATGTATATATTCAGGTATGGTAATACAATATATATAATATTATATATATTATAGTATATATATATATATAATTAGTATACTGTTATAATATATTATATAATATTATTAATATAAACATAAGGTATATATTATATATATTATAATATATATATACATTTTAATATACATATATATATATATTATATAGTTTAATAATTTATATATACATATACTACTATAATATACATATACATTATACTATATATAAGTCTAGTAGTATAAATATATACATATATATATTTATATATAGCTATATTATCATATATAATTTATATACATCATATATAATATACATATATATATAATATAATATATATAGTAACTATACATATATATATTAATATACTATACATATATATATCATATACAGTATAATATATATAACAGTGATATTGTAATTATGCATATATAATATATATATAATATAGTTATAATCATATAGTAGTAATAATATACGTGATCTAAATATATAAAAATATATGTAAAACTAACTGTATATAATAGCTATATACTTACACTAGATATACTTATACCAATTACATATTACATATGATATGAACTTCATTACTTAAATTATATCGCGTAGATATACATCTATCTATATATATACATAATATATTATATACAATAAAGTATTATATGGTACATCTAGAGCTCATAATATATACATATTAATAATATACTAATACACATAGCTGCGTATAATATAAATTATTAAATTAAATATACTATATTATATGTATTACATATATGTATATGTATATGTATATGCATATGTTATAGTGTATATGTATGAATTTGTAATATGTATATGTGTGTATGTATGTATATATTTATTAGTACTATATATATATACTAGTATATTATATTATAATATACATATATGGTGCTGCTGGTATATAGTGTTATATATATGTGTGTGTGTTACTATATAATATATATAGATATATATATATATATATATATTATATATATATCTATTATGTATATATATATTATTATATCATATCATTGTATATATATATACATATACAGGATATTATATAATATATATATATATATATATATATAGTATATATATACATATACAGTATATATGTGTGTGTGTGCGCGGCTGTGTGGGTGTGTGTGTGTGTGTGTGCCGCTGTGTGTGTGCTGGGTGTGTGTGCTGTGTTGTGTGTTGTGTGTGTGTGTGTGCGCGCTCTGGCGAGGCGTACACGCGTGGTGTGTGTGTGTGTGTGTATATGTATATATAATATTATATTATTATTAGTATAAAATATATATTATACTTATATATACGTATATCTATATAATACGTTAGTATACTGATCTTGTATATACTGTGTGAATGTATATTATATATACTATATATGTCTGTATATATATATATAGTATATTATATATATATATATATATAGGTAGTGATATTAATGACGATATATGTGAGTACATTATATATCAGTATATATATATTATAACATATAGTCATTATATAGTATATACTATATTATATATATACTATATATATAATAATACTTATATATAATTAGTATACATCGTATATATATATTACATATGATATCATATAGTGGAATGTATT